GGGGGGGGAGAGCTGAAGACCGGCTGGGGACGATGGGAGTTGGAGTTCAACGTCAGGTTGAGGACAGCTGCTTTGAAGGCGGCTGGGGGGGTGGGGCTGAACCTGAGAAGGGGGAAACATTTCTGCCTCGCCCGGCTCCCCTCCCGCCCCGAGAGGCGTCCCGCTCCCTGGGCAAGGCCGGGCCTCACCAGACTCCATCCTCCTTCCGCGTCACCGCCACCACCATCCTCTCATCTCCGCGCCGCCGCCTTCTTCGGCCGCTTCCTTTCTTTCCCTCAGGCGGCGGCGGCGGCGGCAGCGCCCAGCCTCCTCCTCCTCCTCCTCCCCGCGGAAAACAACACGGCTACGGCAATCTCCGCCCGCGCGGCGCACGCCGGGAGTTGTGGTCTCCCATCGCGCGCCCCTGCGCCCTTCTCCTCGGCCCTCCCGCTCCGCGCACTCCAATTCCCATCAGCCCACCGAATGCTTCCCGCGGCGCCTGCGCGCGAGGGAAGCCCACGTTCGGGGAAGTGGGAGGAGCTGGACCGTGGGGGGGGGGGGCGGGGACGCCGTGGTCTATTGGTCGCTCGTTTTGCGATTGCCCCTCTGGATTGGTAGAGAGGAGACTGTCGGCTCCACCCCCTTCTCGCGTCGTGGAATCTGCGCAGGCGCGCGGTGGGAAAAATCTTCAGTCTCCGGGATGGAGGGACAAGACGGCGGTGGTTCTGTGTCCAACGTGGAGCTCTGTAACTTGGCTTACGCGGGGCAGCTGGAGGAGCTCAAGGAGCGGCTGGTCGCCAACCGGAGCCTGGCAACACGCGCCGATCAGGTTGGCAAGCGGGAGAGAACATGGCCGGTCTTGATGGCCTTGACATCTCAAACCATGGTTTATTGGATCCTGGCTTGTCTAACAGATGAGCTTGTTTTGCACGGCTTAAATATGGCTTCCCAACCACAGACTTGGTCCAGTGCATTAAGCCCGGATCAGGCATTGTGGCTTAACAGGGTCTGGTTTGAGAGAGGTTTTGTATTGTGGCTTATTCAGCAAACCAGGTTTTTTTTTTATCAATATGTACAAATAATAGAGTGGAGACCTTAATATTAAGGAATTAAGACCAAAACCTTTATTGTACCACATAACTTCGATGCAATCGGTAGTGGTATGGTATATTAGATATCCAATTATGAATAAAAATGTCCAATTACACTCAATATTGGCATCCTAAATTGTAACCAATATTGCTAAAATACAGGTAGTCCTTGACTTACAACAGTTCATTTAGTGACTGTTCAAAATTACAACAGCACTGAAAACAGTGCCTTACCACTGTTTTTCACACAACCATTGGAGCATCCTCATGTCACATGATCAAGCTCAGATGCTTGGCAACTGACTCATATTTACGACAGCTGCTGCATCCCAGGGTCAGGTATGCACCTTTTGCGACCTTCTGCTAAGCAGAATCAATGGGGATGCCAAATTCACTTAACAACAGTGTTACTATATTTATTTATTTATTGAATTTATATTACATTTTACCCACCTCGGAAGGATGGAAGGCTGAGTCAACCTGGAGCTGCTCAGAATTGAATGGCTGGAATGAGTAGTGAGTTAGCCTGCACTACTGCGTTCTAACCATTGCGCCAGCATGGCTCTTAAATACTTTTAAAAGAGCAGGAACTTCATTGTAAAGTGTGGCTTTGAAAGGAGTGATCTATAGAGGAAAAACTTCCTCAAGGCTAGGTGACTCCCAAATATAAGATTCAGCACCAGAATTCTCAATAAGGCCCATGCAGTTTGGGGAATTCTGGGAACTGAAGTTCTCTTATTTGGAGGGGTTTTAAGTAGGAGAAGCTGTTTTGAAGGATGAAGTGGTCTCTTCATGGCACCATCCTCTTCCCCTGCTGTATCCGTTGACTTCGTGTCTGTAAACAAAAAGATCGTTAACATAATCTTGTCTTCTCCATTCAGGACAACAGGACAGCTCTACATTGGGCCTGTTCAGCTGGTCATTCAGATATTGCTGACTTTTTGCTAAGTCTGGGAGTGCCTATTAATGACAAGGATGATGTAAGTATCACCATTTATCTATATTTTCTATTTACAAACTGTTGATGGGGCTGTGTACTTTTCTGCTGTCTTGTTCTCTGCTAGGATCTCTGTTGATGTAACCATTATTGGGGGTTGGAAAGTGTGCATTGCTGTGGTTCTGGATCTCGGTAGTTGTTGGGTTGTAAGTCCTCAACTTACAATTAACAATTGAGCCAAACGTTTGGGTTGCTGAGTGAAACATTTCTTCGGTGACTTTTGCAAGGAACAGGAGCTCGCTCCATAGTGCAGCGCTCGGGTCTCAAACCCAGGCTGTCAGATTTCCAACTGACAAGCTCAGTGTGTTTAACCACTGAACTGTTGCGTCCCCCTCTGCCCCTAAATAATTGAAATGTCTATGAACCGCTTGATTTGCATTCTTACATTCCAGAAGGCAAGTGAGCAAAAACCACCAGCCAGTGCCTGCTCCTCTAGCACCATCCCTGCAGAGAGGAAATTTGAACTCTGTTGTGATTATGTCTGTGGACATTCTCAGTCATCCAGGTCATGGTTGTCCCAAAGGTGCTGTTTCAGGAAGCAACTGGACCTTCTTGGTTTTCTTTGGAGACATTTCACTTCTCATCCCATTCTTCAGCTCTGACTGGAATGGTGGGGAATGGAAGGATTTATCCAGTCTTTTTTTTTTCTTTCTCCAGGCTGGCTGGACCCCTTTGCATATTGCCGCATCGGCTGGCCGGGATGAAATTGTGAAAGCTCTCCTTCAGAAAGGCGCTGAGGTGAACGCCGCCAATCAGAACGGCTGCACCCCGCTGCATTACGCCGCGTCGAAGAATAAGCAGGAGGTTAGATTTTTGAGGGATCCTTGGTGCTCTCGGAGCTTGGTTTGTCTTCTTGCAGACGATTCATGACCAAACTAGAAAATATCAGCAGTGCTAGGCTTTATAGTCTTTTCCAAGGGAAGCTGCATCAGTGCGTCCCAGGATAATGTTGCAGGATCCAATCGGAGTCAATCAGGTTTTGTCTTCCGAGCTTTTGGACCAGTGGCGGTATGCTACTGTTTCGGGCTGGTTCAGCCGAACTGGTAGTAAAAAAAAAAGCTTCCGACGATCAGCTAAGAGGAGAAAAGCAGAAAAAAAGCGCAGGATTGGCCCTCCCACCCGCCCCTGTGCTTTTCTTTCTCCTCAGATGATTGGCGCTGCAGGCCTCAACTGGTGTGTGGAAAGCTGTGCATGCGTGTTAGGTGCGCGTGCAATCACTGAAACGGTAGTGGAACAGGTAGGATCCCACTATTGTTTCAGACTCAGGCTGGAGCCCATCTTCAGGGAACTTCTCTCTAGCAGAGGCTGTTCTGTTTGAGGTATTCATGTGGTGCCTGTTGCATGTGGATTTTTAGATGTTGGTTGGGGTGTTGATGGCTGTCTATTAAATCGTTGGCTGTTGTTTCTTTGTACTGTCAATCCCTCACCATGTAAGTACTTGATAACCTGGGAGTAAACCAGCACTTCTGTTGACTGACAAGGGGGCCTGTTTCCCAGGTTTCGATCGCTTCCCTGGCTGTTTTTGTGCCTCCTCGTCCAACAAACTTAGTAGCTGCAAAATTGAATGTATGTCCTTATTCATTGCACTGTGAGTACTACCAATGAGTACAAGGAGCTGAGAAGTCAGTCTTCGACTTACAACAGGCAGTTACAACAGGACCAAGAGACAGCAAAGTGTTCTGACCTAGGCTTCCCCCAAAAGCACTAAGCAGACTTTTTGTCCCAGCAAAACCCCTTTTATTAAATGAAGGTGAATTTCTGGCATTCACATTCAGCCAAAGTCTTTCCGGGGTGCACAGACCTTATCTAGCTTGGAGAGCTGCCAAGTAAATATTTCCAAACGCAGTGCTGACAAGGAAGGGCTCAGCACAGAGTCTCTGAGATGCACAGACAGATCTTCACACTGCTGCAACGAACGAACGGTTTCCTGCAAAAGCCCCCTCCCCTTTTGCTCCTCCTCTTTTAATCCCTATAGGAGGGGCCATTCACCATCCACCTGTGGCCTTACTCCCACGTTGACCGCATGCGCAGGCTGGGAACCAGCTCCAGCTACTCCCCTGCCTCACTGCTGTCCGACTCTGAAGGCAGCTGATAACTGCCAGCCTGCCCTGGCCCCATCTCTGCCTCTGATGCAGAGCCTTCTTCCGAGTCTTCTTCAGCCTCCAGGACTGGCCCAGATTCCTCCCCAACCTCCTCAGTGTTGTGGTTTGCCGGAAACTGGTGCAGATGGCAGCGGAATCAGACAGTGAGGAAGAAAGGGGATCAATCAGGAAGTCTGGAGAGGACTCCGACGAGGGTCCTGTGTCCGATGCAGAGACCATCTGGGAGTGGGGTGCTGCCTTTGGAGCCTCCAGAGTCTGGTAGCAGCGAGGCTGAGGAACAAAGGGAGGCTGTTCTCAGTGCACGCATGCGCAGAGCTGCTAGAAGGTGAGAGCAGCTGAAACAAAAGGGACAACTCGGGAGTAAGGCTGGAAGGTGATTGCCCCCCCCCCCATAAGGGATAAAAGTCAGACCTCAATGACAAAACCTTTGCAGGAAGCAAAGTAGTTTGATAGATTTTGAGTCCTTGAAGCTCTGTGTAACTTTGGTTGTTTTTTTTCCTTTTATTTAGGTTGGTTTCTTTTATAGTTAATTGGATACTTCTGTTTTTTGGCAGCATTCCACAAAACTGGAAGGTGTGTGCTTATCTTGGGGGACTGTTTAAGATTAGTTCTGGCAAACAATTCCCAGTAGTGCAGTAAAACAGGTTTTGCTTTTAAAACAAGTTTGTGATTAATTACGGTTGATGAAGCCTGGGTCAGAACACTCACTGTCTGACTCTGCTGCCAGCGCCATCAGCCGCCAGCCGGCCCCAACAAGTTCTCTCCTCGTCTGATCGTTCCCTTGTGATCTTGATCGTCTCTTCTCCTTGTATAGGTTAGATTTTGCATTGTGGCTTGGTTCTTTTTCCCTATGTCTCAAAAGCAAATGGTTCGCACCTCTTTTTTCTCCTCTCACCCACAGATTGCACTGATGCTGCTGGAGAACAAAGCTAATCCAGATGCAAAGGATCACTTAGCCTCCACCCCGTTACACAGAGCAGCCTCCAAAGGGAACCTGAAAATGATGCAGATCCTTCTGAAGCACAAAGCGTCAGTCAACTTACAGGACTCGGAAGGAAACACGCCTCTGTAAGGATGGGAGGCTCCCCTTTCATTTCTTTCAAGGCTCGGGCATTAACTCGGGGCAGGTTATCCAACCATAAGGTAGTCCCCAATTTACAGCCATCCGTTTAGTGACACTTCAACGTTACAGTGGCACTGAAAACAGTGGCTTATGACCGTTCTTCACACTTATGACCATAGCAACATCCCCCTCCGACGATCACATGATCATAATTCGGACATGTGACCAGATTTTGCAATCTTCCGTTGAGCCAATTCAACAGGGAAGCCAGATTCATTTAACAAACAAATGGCTAACTTAACCAACTGCAGTGATTCACTTCACATCTCTGGCAAGACAAGGTCATCAAATGGCAAAACTCACGTAGCAAATGTCCCGCTTAACAACTGAAATTTTGGGCTCAGTTGTGGTTGTAATTCAAGGACTACCTATATCAGTGGTGGCTAACCTTTTGGGGCTCCTGTGCCAAAAATTGTGCATGCTCTCATGCAAGCACCCAAGAAGGCAATGCATGCTCCCCCCACACTCCCTGCACGGTGCGCGCGCGATCCCCGCCCCCTGCCGCCCCCTTACCTGCACTGTGCCTACCGGCTGATTTTCTGCCCATTCAAGCCTTTTTCAGCCTCCCAGAGGCTCGAGGAAAGCCTCTGCAGCCTTTGGAGGCCAGAAAACGGGCCTGTTTCATCACTTCCGGTATTTCCGGAAATACAGAAAGTGACGAAACTTCCCCTGAGCCTCTGGGAGGCCGAAAAAGGCCTCAAATGGGCCAGAAATCAGCTGGGAGGGGCGCGCATACGCAGTGCAGGTAAGTTTGCCTGGGGCTCGTGTGACTGCACAAATGGCTCTGCATCCACCTGTAGCATGCATGCCATAGGTTCGCCATTACGGACCTACATTGTAAACTTGCAGAACTAACCCAGGTCCACGGATCCGTTCCAGAAATTGTTAATTTGGTCCTGATTTGTTTAAGCATCTGAACAAATATATATATATACTAACTCTATTCACCCAAGCTGTATCTCTCTATTAATTGATTATATTAATTAAACAAATAGTTCCCAGCCTGCTTTGGGGAAACTGTGCTGGTCAGCAAAGTCAGCAAACCATGTTACTCGCTTAGCAGCTGCAGCAATGCATTTAACCACTGTGGCAAAAAAGGTCTTAAAATCGAGCAAAACTCACTTAACTCCTGTCTTGCTTAGCAGTGAAATTTTTTTTATGGTCATAAGTCAAGGACCACCTGTATTGTGGGAGACAGAGCCTCACAGAATTTTGACAGCAGAGTCTTAAGAATCTGTACCATCAGTCTGCTTACATGAGACAACCTTGCTTAATTAGCAAACTATTAAATCTGTTCTGATATATAGTCCTTACCTTTATACTTAACTAAATTTATACTTAACTAAATTTACCCAGATGGAACTAGCTGCAGATTAAAACTAAATCCATAATTTGCACTGCAATCTGCTAAAGCTACTTAAATTGCTTCCAGCATTTGACCTGTTAGAATTCCACTAAGCTTCCTTTGATCTTAGATTAACGTGATGCCTGAACTGACACGTTAACCCTTAGATGTAATGCTAAAATGTTACGGCAGGTGTGGCTGTAATTCAGGTCTGCCTTTGAAGCAACAAAGACTAAATATTTAGGCCATTAGAGAATCAAACTGTAACTTTGGGAAAAATTCATTTTCTATGGGGTCAGTACATTTTTTTACATCATCTCAAGAGAGCACAATATCTATTCAAAAAATGTCCTAATTCTCCTTAGATGGTCAAATTAAGTTGCTTTATTTAATGTTTTTTGATAGTTTACCAATAAAGAACGAAGTCCTCACTTCAAATAGCAAAAAATATAGTTCCTCCTACCTGGAAAATACTATTCTTGAGCGTTGAATGCAATATCGCAGAGTCCCTCTGTGAGGAAGATGAGCAGTTTCTAATATGATCAATAAAATAAAATACAAAAAAATAAAATAGGTCATACAGAATCCAAAGTAGCTCTTTTGGCCAAACAAATCCAGCAGATATATTTGGTCGTATTTTTTATATGCCATCCAGAAGAGGGGTCTCCAACCTTGATAACTTAAGCCTGGTGGGCTTCCGCTCCCAGAATTCCCCAGCCAGCTTTGCTTCAAGCCCGCGAGGCTTTAAAGTTGCCAAGGTTGGAGAGACCCCCTGACCCAGAGTGACTTGATAGTGAGACAGGCAGCATATAAATTTAACCAATCAATTGGCAAGCCTTCAGCTTCTGCAGAACTCTTGCTCCGGCGTGGTTATAAAAGCTATGGGGGAAAAAAAAAAAGCGTGCAAAGAGGGGCTTTTGCTGAAACGGGGCCTGCAAAAGGAATTAATTCTTGGTTTTCTTGACAGACACTTGGCATGCGATGAAGAGCGGGTGGATGAAGCGAAGCTCCTGGTGGCCCACGGGGCCAGCCTCTACATTGAGAACAAAGAAGAAAAAACCCCTTTGAAGGTTGCAAAAGGAGGACTGGCATCCATCCTCAGAAGGCTGGTTGAGGGGTAGCTGCTCTGTGAGAGCACCCTAAATTCCATTCTCCACATTCATAACAGAGGTGTTTTTTGTTTTTTTTTAAATCAATCCGAAGTGCTACAACTTGACCTTTTTTTAAAAAAATAAATTTTATTTTACACTTTTAAAAACAAATATATTATTTATTTTATTTTATTTATTTATTTTGTCAAGCGCTTACACTATAATAGAAATAAGAATAAACATAAGTTTAAATACCTGAAATAGGTACTAATAATTGGGGACAAATAGGACAGGGATGGTAGGCACGAATGTGCGCTTATGCATGCCCCTTACAGACTTCTTAGGAATGGGGTGAGGTCAGTAGAGGTTAGCGTGAGGGGAAAGGAGTGGGGGTTTGAGCAGGTGACAACAGAGTCAGGTAGTGAGTTCCAGACATGGACCACTCTGTTGCTGAAATCATACTTCCTGCAATCGAGTTTGGAGTGGTTTACCTTTAGTTTATATCTGTTGTGTGCTCTTGTGGTTAAAGCTGAAATATTCATTAACTGGTAAGACGTTGTAACATATGATTTTATGTACTATGCTTAAGTCTAATCTTAGCCGGTGTTGTTCAAGGTTGTCTAAGTCTAGAATCTCAAGTCTGGTGGTGTAGGGTATTCTGTTGCGAACAGAGGAGTGTAGTACTCTTTTGGTAAAATACTTCTGGACTCACTCAATTGTATTTATGTCTGATATACAGTGCGGATTCCAGACAGCCGAGCTGGTATTGGGCTAACAAATCATATATACAATTTTTGCAGTAGGTTGTGGCATCGACTTTTCCATATTCATTTACACACATGCATGCATGCATACATACATACACATCATTTACATTTTATATTTTACATTATCTTTTGTTCCTGTTATCTAACCAAACATACCATTTCTCCCAGACCGTATAGTATTCTTTTTCTTCCTTCTCCTGCAATTCCATTTTAAGTTTATTCATTTCTGCACAATCCATCATTTCTTTTATAATCACATTATCTGTGGGACTACTCTCTAATTTCCAAGTTTGGGGCATACGTTATTCTAGCTGCTGTCAATATATGTATCATTATATATTCAATGTCTTTCTTGTATTCACTTCTGATTATCCCTAATAAGAACATTTCAGGCTTAAGTTCTATTTTTAAACCTGTTATTTCTTGCAGCCAAATCCTTATTTTATTCCAAAATTTATTTGCTTCTTTCACATATGAAAGAAGGTGCCTGGTTTCTTTTTACATTTCCAACATACCGGGTTCAAATTTGGGTACATTTTGGCCAATCTCGCTGGTCCTAGGTGCCAACGATAGAACATTTTGTAGAGATTTTCTTTATATGGGGCTGCCATTGTTAATTTATAGTTTTTCATCCAAAGTTTTTCCCAATCTTATAATTGTATGTTAAATCCGAAGATTTTCATCCAAGCAATCATCGTTTGTTTCACTGCCTCCTCTTCTCTTGAATTTTTATTGCATTGTGGCTGCTTTCTACTTTCCCATGTCTTCAGTGACCCTTCTCCAAAAGTCTCCTTGTGTTAACAAAACTTATTCATGTTTTTTGCCAAATTTTGTTGTCCTGCTGGAGAGCAGTTTCAAGATAACTCTTTCCGTCTGCTTTCACCTAGAAAAGAAATCTGATCCCTCGTCCTGCAAGAAGAGGTAAATAGAAGGAAGGCCGTTACCTGTAAAAGCGGTCCACGTATTCAAGAGTTCCCCAACCTTTCCGGCTTTGCAGCCCGGTGGGGGTGGGGTGAGGTCGGGGAAAGAGGGGATGGTTCCGCAGAGCAGCAGGGAAGCATGGGTGCAGCTCCATTTGTGCAAGAGGCAGACACACACGCCTGCCACTCGTGGACATGGAGCGCATGCGTGCTGCTCATGCGCCACTTCTGCGCCCCGGTTCTGAACGGCAAGGGTTGGGGACCCCTGCTTTATTCCATAAGCTCATTTTCTGTGTATTAAGTAAAAAGTCAAAATCTGTTGTTCACAGGTGACGGCTCAGAAATCGAGCAAGCCTGGCCAGAATTCAAGGCTGCAGAATCTCTTCCCCTCCAGAGGTGGCTGAACTACAATTCCCAGCAGCCAACTGCAAGCAGTAGAGGATTCTGGGATTGTACATCTGGAGGGCCACTGGTTGCAGCTGCTTCCCTGGATTATTATTTTTTTGCTGTAATATTTTTGGAATCTTTTTGCAAGTATCTTTGGCTTCAGCCTTTTACCTCCTGGATGCAGTAAGGTTGGAGCGGAGCATTATGGATAGAAAGCTGATAGATTTAAACTTAGTTCGGGAAAGCTGCAGGTAACACAAATTGTTCCTTGTGAATAAAAGCTAATGTAGTTGACATTGTGGAACTTCTTGGATTTACTTGTCGGGACCTTATGTGGCTAATTTCTGGTTTCAGCAAACTACTTATTAAAATAATTACTGTTCAAGATCATTTTTAAGTATTCTTGAAGCCTTAAAATATTAAACAATGTTTATTAATGATGGTGATGTTATCCATTCAGTTGTGTCTGACTGTTGTTGATTCTGTGAAGCACATCTTCTGATTTTGCACTACTTCTTTGAGTTTAAAGGTTGAATCATGGCAACTGGAACCAAACTTTGTTAATTTTTGTTAAACTAATTTTGCTCTGATTGATGAAGTTGCTTGAATGAGCAACGAATCAGATCAACAAAGTTTGGTCCAGTTGCCATGATTCAAACTTTAGTCATATTTGGCCTGAATGGTAGAGTCTTCATTGACCTACTTCTTTGAGTTGTTTTATGCTCTGACCAGTGTCAGCTTAATGGTATTCAGCCACCATGTTATTTGTTGACCTGTGCTAACTCTTTCAAGCGTAATTGCTTTCTCCAGTGAATTGCCCCACGTGACATGTCCAAAATAAGTGAGACACATCGCTAAATGTCTGTGGAGATTCTCAGTCCTCCAGGTCATGGTTGTCCCAAAGGTGCTTTTTCAAGAGGCAACTAGACTTTTCAAGAGGCAACTAGACTTTGAAGACTTTTCGCTTCTCATCCAAGAAGCTTCTTCAGCTCTGACTGGATGGTGGGGAACAGAAGGATTTCTACTCCTTGCAGGCAGCTGGTCATTTGCAACCTTTTAGAGGGTCGTTCAAGCACTTGGAGGTTTATCTGTGTCCTCAATGACCCTCTAAAAGGATGCAAATGACCAGCTGTCTGCAAGGAGTATAAATCCTTCCATTCCCCACTATTCAGTCAGAGCTGAGGAAGCTTCTTGGATGAGAAGGGAAATGTCTTCAAAAAAAACACCAGAAAGTCCAGTTGCCTCTTGAAAAAGCACCTTTGGGACAACCAAGACTTGGATGACTGAGAAGCTCCATAGACATTAAGTCAGTGGTGGGCTGCTGCCTGGTTGGACTGGTTCAGTTGAACCGGTAGTTGTGATCACTAGCTGGGCCCGGCCACCCTCCCCTGTGCTGTCCTTTCCATATATAACTAACTTTCTGGTTCGTTCCCCCACCCACATTGCCCAGCCGAGTTCTGCGCTATGCTTGCTGTACTCATCGGAGTTCCCCGAGTAGATTAGCTGCATTATAGCCCCCAAAGAGCGTGCGTACGCTCACAGCCAGCGAACCGGTTGTTAACGTAAATGCAGCCCACCTCTGCGTTACGAGACACAGTTTTATGATTGTGCCTTCCAGTGGCATGTCTGTTGCGTGTTCCAATACTTGCTTGACACCTTTGCAGTCCAAGGAATATGCAGGAACCTTCCCCTGCACCACAGCTCAAAAAAGAGTATTTTAAACTAGCATTTCTCAAACTTGACCACTTTTAAGATGTCAGCTCTCAAAATTGGGCAAGGGAATTCCGGGAGTTGAAGTCCATACACGCCAATGTGGAGAAACACTGGTTTAAACCAAACCTCTCAGTATTAAGGAGTTTCAAATACCACCAATGATTATGAACTCCCAGTTGTGATGTTGGTGTTTTTTCTACCCCAACTTCCCTACTTTGTTGGTTTGAGGATATACAGGATTACCTATACACAGCAGGAAAGTTGAAGATAACGGAATGCTATAGCTATGTCCTAACAGATAATCAGAGTTGGAAGGGACCTTATAGGTCATCTAGTCCAACCCCCTGCCCAAGCGGGAAACCCTACACCATTTCTGACAAGTGGCAGTCCAATCTCTTTTTGAAAGCCTCCAGTGATGGCACTCCCACAACTTCCGAAGGCAACTTCTGTTCCATTGGTTGATTGTTCTCACTGTCAGAAAGTTTCTCCTTATTTCCAGGTTGAATCTCTCCTTGTTCAGTTTCCATCCATTATTCCTTGTCTGGCCTACAGATGCCTTGGAAAATAGCTTGACCCCTTCCTCCTCTCTGTGGCAGCCCCTCAAATATTGGAAGACCTCTATCATGTCTCCCCTGGTCCATCTCTTCACTAGACTAGCCAGGCCCAGTTCCTGCAAGCGTTCTTCATATGTTTTAGTCTCCAGTCCCCTCATCATCCTGGTTGCTCTTCTCTGTACTATTTCTAGAGTCTCAACATCTCTTTTATAGTGTGGTGACCAAAACTGGATGAAGTACTCTAGGTGTGGTCTTACTAAGGCTTTATAGAGTGGTATTGGTCCCTCCCTTGATCTTGATTGTATCCCTCTGTTAATGCAATTTAGGATTGCACTAGCTTTTATTAGTGCTGTTACAGAATCCATCATCATGTCCTTAAGTAACTTTTCAACTGTGTAACACATTCTTGTTATCAGAGAAACATAACAGAAGAGAATCTGGTAAACATTTTATTGTTCTTTGAAGTAACAAACGAATCGAGCCACTTCCCTGTTCTTCTACATTATAAAAGCTGCACCAGAGCTCTGTGGCTGAACTCCCGTGTTACTCTTTGTTTTTTTTAAAAAAACAAACAAACCCTGGGTTATCCAAAAGCAAGTTACAGAAAAAAAACAATTCTCTACTAATTGAGGCTGCTTCTATAAAGCTCATGAGGTTGTTGACAATGACTTCCTGGGGGGAAATTAGGATTAAGTGTGGTGGCTAAAGTATTCGAACAATGGGAAAAGATGACTGGGTGCATAGAGTGGTGCCTTTTAGCATTATTTGAAACTTTTTAAAGCAGCCTTCTCTTTTCTGCAGGTAGTCCTTAACTTGGGGGAAATTTCTTAAGTGAGTTTTGCCCCATTTTACGACCTTTCTTGCCACCTTTGTGAAACACTGAAGTTGGCCAGCTGGATTAAACCAGTACAACATTGCCAACCTAGTCACATTATGGGTTTATAGATAGTCCTCGACTTACAACTGTAATTAAGCCTGCAGTTTTGGTGGTAAGTTGCAACAGTCGTAAAGTGGATGACCATGCAATTGCACCCATTTTTAAAACTTGCACAGCAGCTGTTAAATGCAAACTGTTTGTCAAGGGCCCAAAATACAGTGACTGTCAACTAAAAAAAAATACTTCTTTGCTCTTTTTAGTTGTCAGCAGAAAGGCAGGAGGGAAAGCAATGCATTCCCTAAATGCTTCAGATAATCGCTTTGACGACCAAAGTTTCTGGTGCGCAGGATTATTACTGGAGAACATGATTGATGACTCTTGGCTATGGATGTGACTCATTGGAGAACATACATCCAGGAGGTGGGGGGAAGACCAGGGTCAAAGGTGAAATGAATGATGTGTCAAGAGTCGGCTGCAACCAGGAAATGCCGACATGTCAGCTCCTAATAAATCAATATTTTTTACTCTTGAGAGATGCGGCTAGAGACTTATGAATTGAATGGGGGTGCATGTCGGAGTCCTGACAGTTGCATGACTGAGTAGACCCCAGGCATCAAAACGTAGACTCTGAACCATAAGTAGCTTTGGGGGGGTCCCTCTTAACTTCAAGCAGCAGCTAAGTGACTGGTCATACTGAAAGTGAAGGGCTACCACATTTCTGAAGCGTCCGTCTCCCTCAAAGAGGGACCTCTGGGCGTTAAAATGTTAAAATATACAAACAGTATATATATAAAAGTTTAAAATTTAGAAGAAGGGTGGGGGAATTGGATAGGAAACAGCTATTAAAATGAATTAAAAGGCAACGGGAGGACTTTCAGGGCACTAGCCCGGGCTGCGTTGCTCGCCTGTGATTGAGGTACCCAACTGCTGTGGTTTATTCAATAAACCATGGTTTTGGACAATCTCGCGTGACATGTGAATCTGGTCAGATTGTAGGTTCGTGTGAAGCAAACAAGGCTGGAGAAATCGATCTCAGATGGTTTGGCATGAATGCTAGTGTGACACTATTTGGAAGGCACAGATGGGGGATCAATGTACAAATTCATGATTAGATGGGCTGTTTTTTTTAGGGTTTCCTCGAGGGCAACCACGGCTTTTAGGAAACTGGTTGATGGCCCATTTCCTGCGTCTCATTTTCAGGCAATATGGCAACTTGGGCTTCTTCGGGGCTCTCATGTTCTCCAGTCTCATTAGGATCCTTGTTTGGTGGGATGGCAGCCAGGGGGACACTGGCTTGGCTGGGCACTGTAGCGTATTCCGCCTTTGTTGTAGCCATAGGCCTGCCAAAAAAACAAAAAGGTGAATTGAATTAATTTGAATACTTTATTTGGCCAGATGTGATTATAGACACACAAGAAATTTGTCTCAGGTGCAGAAGCTCTCAGGTGCAAAGCAACAGAATAATGGTAATCATAATAATACCAATAAGAGGGGGGAAGTAAAGAAGATAAGAATGAATGAATAATAAAACTACAATAGTACATGGATAAATACACACAGACATTAGACAATTGAAAAGTTTAGACAAACGTGCATTTTTCTTGATGCAGCATCTTGCAGGAGAAGCCTGTTCTAACTCCTCTTTTATAAAAACCTCAGTGGAGGGGTAGTCTTTCCCAATTCAAGGTCTTAGATTTCAACTCGCATCATTCCTGGGTATCTGGCACAATGCTGGGAATTGCAGTCCAACTCAAAAATATTTCTCTGGTCTTTTAGAGTTCTCAGCAGAAAGAGAGTGGTGGTGGGGAAAGTAATGCATAACCTTAAATATTTTCATGGATAATTTCTAGGCGGCCGAAGCTTCTGGCACTCAAGAATATTGCTGGAGAGCATGATTGATGACTCTTGACTATGGATCTGCCCCATTGGAGAATATACATCCAGGGGGTGGGGGGAAGACCAGGGTCACGGGTTGAGATGAATGGTGTGTCTCAGTGTAGGCCGCACCCAGGTAATGTTCACATGTTCACACCTAATAAATGATTTTTTAAAAAATTCTTGAGAGGTGGGGCTAGAGACTCATGATTCGAATGGGGGTGGATTGTCGGAGCCCTGACAGCCAGCCGACGCTGAGACACATCATCTCACCCTTGACCCTGGTTGTCTCCCCCCCCCCCCATGTATATTCCCCAATGGGACACATCCATAGCCAAGAGTCATCAATCATGCTGTCCAG